AAATATTTAGTTGAGAGCAGACTGTCTGTTTAGTGTTTATTAGTTGATTGCTTTGGTAGTGTCTTTAGTTTACCCCTTGTGTGTGTTATTGGTTTGGCCAGCCAATATATATGTTCCCCTGTGTGTCATTTGTCAGGTCAGTTGGTTTTGTTGCGGTATTAGTTAGTTCAGTTTGCTGTATTTTGAGTTTCCTTATCTTTTGTTGACCTCTTTTAGGGCCCAGTTTATCTGATGTTAGTTTTGTATTTTTCTTGCTTTTGGGTTAATAAAAAACCCTTTATTTTGAACTTTGAAAGCTGTGTCTTTTGCCTTACTGCTTGGTCCCTGACAGTTCTCAATCGGAAAAAGGTGGATTGCCCTCTCTGGGTTGGGGGCAAGTTACTCCCTCAAGTGGAGGAGTTTAAGTATCTCAGAGTCTTGTTCACGAGTGAGGGACAAATCGAGCGTTAGGTTGACAGATGGATTGATGTGGCGTCCACAGTAATGCGGTCTCTGTACTGGTCCATTGTGGTGAAGAAGGTGAAGCTCTCAATTTACTGGTCGATCTACGTTTCTACCCTCACCTATGGCCATGAACTTTGGATCACGACCAAAAGAATGAGATCGCGGATACAAGGGGCAGAAATGAGTTTCCTCCGGAGAGTGGCTGGGTGCAACCTTGGGGATAGGGTGCAGAGCTCAGTCACCCGTGAGGAGCTCGGAGTAGAGCCGCTGCTCCTCACGGGTTGTTGAGCGGAACCAATTGAGGTGGCTGGGGCATCTGTTTAGGATGCCCCCTGGACGCCTCCCTGGGGAGGTATTCTGGGCATGTTCCTCCGGGAGAAGGCCTCGGTGCAGACCCAGGACGAGTTGGAGAGACTGTCTCCCGGCTGGCCTGGGAATGCCTTGGGGTTCCTCCTGAGGAGCTAGAGGAGGTGTGTGGGGAGAGGGAAATCTGGGAGGCTCTGCTTGGACTACTGCCCCCCGCAACTCGGTTTTGGATAAAGCGGACGAAGATGGATGGATGGATGGATGGATGGATGGATGGTCGAAATATTGTTCCAGATGCAGAGGGCACTACAGAGTTTCTGCTGTAGTTGCTTTTTTTCCCCAGATAGTAGAGTGAGGAGGCCTGAATCCATATCACATGACTTGGCATTTGGGAAGGAGGTAAATTAATGCAGAAGGACATGTAGCATCCTGTAGCTTAGGAGAAGAGAGAATGTGGATCCTTTATTCAGACAGTTGTATATTGACACTGACCTTGGACTGAGGTCCTCTTTGTTCATTTTCTTCCCTCGAGCCCTCAGGGAAATGAATAGACTACATAAGTTGCCCTCCATTCCTTTGGTTATCATCAGGGATTGAAAGGAGATGAACAAATGCACATGCACTTATTCTAATTGCCTAACACTGCAATCAGGGTTTTTAGATCTGCACTTAATAAAATATATTTTGCACTTTTTACGCTATATCTATGCTGCTTTGGACTTTTAATTTGTCTTGTGTTTTCAATTGCTCATTGTGTTTTTAGGATTGTTTTCACTGTATTTTTAATTTGTGGATTGTTTTGTTCTGTTTTAAAAGGGTGACTGTAATAGAGTGTGAATGATGTGTATTGAGGATTAACTCTTTTTCACCTCTAAAACATTCCTCACAAGCTCCTCCTTCAGGCTCACTCCTACCCCATTTCTCTTCCTGTCCACACCATAATAAAACAGTTTATATCCCCCTCCAATGCTACGCGCTTTCCTACCCTTCCACCTGGTCTCCTGCACACACAATATACAGTCAGGGAAAAAATTATTTGAACCCCAGCTGATTTTGTAAATTTGCCCACTAACAAAGAAATGATCAGTCTACAATTTCAATGGTAGGTTTGTGTGAACAGTGAGACACACAACAATAACAAAAAAAAGTCCAGAAAAATGCATTACAAAAAAAGTTATAAAGTAATTTGCATTTCCAGTTTGTATCTGGAAGTCCCACAGGATCTTAGCTTGATCATTCTCAACCACCTTTGGAGGTGTATCCCATTTTGACTTTGGGACTTCTAGCCTGTACTCGGCACAGATGTTTCTGTACACTATGCCGGCCATTGGTTATGGCATTCCATGTATGCGCTGCTTGCTAGCATCTTGCACCCTGCTGTTATGTGCTGGATTGTCTCAGGAGCATCTTTGCACAGCCTGCACCTGGGGTCCTGTCTGGTATGGTAGACCCCTGTCTCTATTGATCTTGTACATAGAGCTTGTTCCTGTGCTGCCAGGATTAGTGCCTCTGTGCTGTCTTTCAGTCCAGCTTTGTCCAGCCACTGGTAGGATTAAAATATATTTTAATATTAGCTAAAATGGTTGAAAATGAGAACTACTGTACATTGGTCTCTATGAAGAGAAAGAGTCAGGGGCTGTAGTGGTGATATCACACCTAGAGTGTTGAGGCTGTTGAGTTTGTCTAAAGCATTCTCTCTAACTCGTCCTCACGGCCACAGTTTTCACTCCTTTTACACAAGTTTTTCACTGAATTTTTTTTCAATGCAGACATGCTGTGCTTTTCCTGACAGTAGAACTGGAAGCAAATGGATTCACAGAAGATGCACAGTGAGCTCAGAGTGACTTCTGGGCTGATTCCTCACCGTTCTCATTATCATTGAAACTCCACGGGGTGAGATCTTGCATGGAACTCCAGACGAAGGGAGATTGGCAGTTAATTTATGTTTCTTCCATTTGTGAATAATCGCACCAACTGTTGTCACCTTCTCACCCAGCTGCTTGGCGATGGTCTTGTAGCCCATTCCAGCCTTGTGTAGGTCCACAATCTTGTCCCTGACATCCTTGGAAAGCTCTTTGGTCTTGGCCATGGTGAAGAGTTTGGAATCTGAATTGATTGATTGCGTGTGGACAGGTCTCTTTTATACAGGTAACGAGCTGAGAGGGCTCCCAATGTCAGCTCGTGACCTGTATAAATTACACCTGGGAGCCAGAGATCTTGCTAACTGATAGGGGATCAAATACTTATTTCATTCATGAAAATGCAAATCAATGTATAACTTTTTTGTAATGCATTTTTCTGGATTTTTTGTTATTGTTGTGTCTCTCACTGTTCAAATAAACCTACCATTGAAATTGTAGACTGATCATTTTTTTGTTAGTGGGCAAACTTACAAAATCAGCTGGGGTTCAAATAATTTTTTCCCTGACTGTACATTTCTTCATTCTGTCATGTTAGAGTGGTTGATCAGGTGAGTTAGTTTTCCCCGAATAATGGCTGTTTACATATTATTGTCAAAAATTAGTCTTCAACATTTGACACAAGTATTACTTACAAAATATGGCTACTTGACTGTACAGAATAAACAAATGAAACAGATGATGGTACTTACAGGAGTGATCATCTTGACCAGCTTTCTGTTTATACATTACTTGGTCAAAAAGGAGACCTTTTGACTTGTCACGATAGGAAAAGCTCTGTGTCACTCTTAACAAAGTAAGCAACAATGTCTTTGTGAACCATTATGCCATTACAGTGTGACAGTGTTTCAGTATGCACTACCAGGACTCTAAAAATGAAGCAACTACTGTAGCTGTTATAGTGAATTTCACCATGGGTTTAATTGTTAATTGCATTATTTGCACAAGTTAGATTACCGCTGGGAAATGCCAAAATGTCTGCTCTGAAAATGTTGTTCACTTGGAAACATGAAGTGAAAATGATTTGCTGGATGAATCATGCCATTATAGTGATTCTCTTGCCCCTCATTCCTTTCTCTTATGTCCCTCCATTTCTCCTTGTATTGTCTTGTAGCTCATGACTGCTGCGAGGTGGTGTTGGTCACCTTGTGTTCTGTTAACCGAGGTATTCCTGCGGCCCCTACAAAATTAAAGCCCTGTCTGGGTCCTGTGGATCTACTGGCCGAGCATCCATTCAGCTTTGTCCAGGATTTGGCTTTTGACATGGCCCAGTTCCTGGTGAGCAGTATGACAAGTCATATCTGTTTTCTAAAACAGTAGTGAAATTCCCTCAAAATTGGAGGCTTGTCATGCAACAGAAGAAAAGTGGTTACAAATGAGTACAAGTCACACAGAAATGTGGGCGGAGAGCAATAAAACAAAACATTGGCCATGTAATTATTTCTTCCTTGACATAGCCTGGTGTTTCACAGTCTTTGGTTTTCAATTAATTCACATTTTATCATCCCATAGAAATGTAGTATTGACTTTGTTTCGCTAGTGAGGAGGACAAGATAAAACAACTTCTAAAGCTTCTAATGGAACATTTTTGTCAACACAGCACAGGCCCAAATTGAGCTTAGTACTGATAAATGCCTGTGGATGTGTCTTCCTATATCTTACATTTAGTTAGTACAGTGGAACCTTGGATTGCGAGTATAATTTGTTCCGGCAACGTGCTTGTAATCCAAAGCACTCGTATATCAAAGCGAATTTCCCCATAAGAAATAATGGAAACTCAGATGATTTGTTCCACACCCACTTATCCGTATAAAAATGATTACAGTAATACAAAATACAGTATAAAGTAAAAATAAAACAAATTAACCTGCACGTTACCTTTGAAAACAGTCGTGGCTGGCGTGAGGGGCCATTGTTGCTGTACAGATACTGACTATCCAAGTGAAGCGCGAGAACCATCGGCTCAATTGTGACATATGTCACGTGATGCTTGGCAGACAAAGCATACGTACTACTCGTATTGCGAGACCTCACTCGTATGTCAAAATTTTTTGCTCGTCTTGCAAAACACTCGCAAACCGGGTTACTCGCAATCCAAGGTTCCACTGTACTATTATGCTGAGCATCTTAAAATGAGTGCTTATAGGAGTCTAAGCCTCAACTCCTACTCTGTAAAGCTTGACTCATTTTTGTAATCATCCACCACACAGGTGAGCATGGCAGGCTGTGCTTACAGCTTCGATGGGGCACTGTTGCTGGATGAGTGTCAGATTCCTCTGCAAGAGTGTGAACGTCTAGATGAGAGCCTGGCACTGGCCCTCCACCACCTCGTACTGCCTCCAGGATGGAGCTTACTGGGAAGCCAACTAACAAACAGCACTGGTGAGAATAGAGGGCAGTGGGCTGTCTGTAACATGTAATTTTCGTCATACAGTGAAATGTCTATTGGTCAGACAGTTTGTCTCTGCACTGTTACATGAAATCTTTCATAATTTTGATCAGATATCAATGGCACTAGACAGACAAATTATTCTGAGCCTTATGCTGATGCATTCTCAGAACAGTGCTGTTTGGCCCAAGTCAAACCAATGTCACATTGTTTCTGATTGGTGCAGAGGAGTGCTTGTTGGTACATAAGACTGATTGTTTGCCTCCTACTGCTTATTAAGTAGTGAAGTGAATCCTGTTTAATTTTTACCCTTAAAGATGAATCTGACAGCTAGTTAATGTGTTGTACTCTCAGGCACCGCCACCGTTACTGTAGTGACAGAGTGGAACTGAACACATTTTGTACTGACAGCAGAAGCACTTATATTTGGGTCCTGGTCAGCTGTCACTCTCTTCAACAGATGAAGGTAGTCGGTATGGTCAAGGGTTTATTGTCATATGCACAGTGAGAAAACACGTTTCCCTGTACAATGAAATTCTTACTTTGCCGTCCACATGAATGCCACACAATATGAGTGAAATATAACGCAGATACATAGGTAACACAAAATCTAAATCTCAAAATCTAAGGCACTGTAAAACAGCCGATGAAAGAAGCATAATGGAAAAATACAACAAGAACACAATATTAAACGGCCAATGAGAGAAGCATAATGAAGAATACAACAAGAACACAATGAAGAGAGAATGTATGCTACATGGGAGCTGTGTGTGCAGATATTCAGCAGTGAGTGTGCAATTATGCATGTGCGAACTCTGTGTAAACAGTATGGGTGGAATTATATCAGGTAGTTCCTGAGTCAGCTGTTTAGAAGTATAATGGCAGTCGGAAAGAAAGAGTTTTTCAGTCTAGAGGTCCTGCGTTTCACACTTCTGAGCCTCCGGCCAGAGGGTAGGGTTATGAACGGTCTTTGAGGATGGAGGCAGCTTTCCAACGCACCCTGCGGTGGTAAATGCTCTGCAGAGAGGGCAGTGGAGTCCTGGTGATCTTCTCAGCGGTCTTTACCACTTTCTGCAGGTACTTGTGGTCCATAGAAGTAGTGCTGCCATACCAGACGGTGATGCAGCTGGTCAAGATGCTCTCGACAATGCAGTTGTAGAAGCTGCTGAGGATCCTAGGTGACATGCCAAACCTCTTCAGCCTCCTCAGGAAGTACAGCTGCCATTGGGCCTTCTTGACCAGCTTTGTGGTGTTATGTGTCCAAGCGAGGTCCTTACTGATGTGGGAACCAAGGTATTTGAAGCTGCTCACCCGCTCCACTTCGAGCCCCTGGATGAACAGTGGCTGATGAGATCTCCTCTCCTCCCTCATGTCCACTATCATCTCTTTCATCTTGTCCATGTTGAGGGTGAGATTATTGTCCTCGCACCATGACACCAGACTGGCCACCTCCCTCCTGTAGGCTGCTTCATCCTCGCCATTGATGAAACCTATCATTGTGGTGTCATCCTCGAACTTTAGGATAATGTTATCCTTGTGGGAGGCGACGCAGTCATGGGTGAACAGGGTGTAGAGGATGGGACTGAGGACACATACCTATGGAGTGCAAATGTTTGTGATGATGCTGGCTGAGGTCCTGTTGCCAATCCTGAGAATCTGGGGCCTGCCAGTCAGAAAGTCCAGTAGCCAGTCACAGAGGGTGGGGTGCAGACCTAATGTGGACAGTTTGTGGGGGTTAACTGTGTTGAAAGTGGTGGTGTAGTTAATGAAGAGTAATCTGATGTAGGAGTCTCTATTTTCCACATGAGAAATGGAATAGTGAAGGGCAGCCCTGATAGCATCAGAGGTGGCCCTGTTGGGGTGGTAGGCATACTGCAGGGGATACAGGGTGCCCGGTATACTGGTCCAGATATGGGCTAGCATCTCAAAACACTTCATAATGATTGGAGTGAGTGCCACCGGCCTGTAGTCATTCAGGCAGGTGACTGAGCTCTTCTTGGAAAGGGGGATGATGGTTGTGCTCTGGCTGAGGGAGAGGTTGAAGATGGTGGTGAAAACATCAGCCAGCTCGCTGGCACATGCTTTGAGCGCCCTCCCAGGGATGTTGTCTGGTCCCGCTGCTTTGCGGGGATCGATCTTTTTCAGGACTTTGCAAACCTGGCCTGATGAGATGGTTAGTGGAAGGGTGGTGAGGTGGGGGGTCCAGGTGCGTGTGTGTGCTTCCTCTCTGTGCTGTGGCTGGAGGTCCCAAAGTGGGTGTAGAAGGTGTTGAGGTCATCCGGCAGGTTGCCCATGGGGCTGATGATGCTGGTGGTGGTCCTGTAGTCTGTGATATGCTGCAAGCCTATCCACATCCGTCTGGAGTTAGCAGTAGAATAGAAGACACTCAGCTTCTCCCTATGCTGCCTCTTGGCCGCTGTGATGGCTTTCCTCAGTCTGTTCTTCGCAGCTTTGTACTTTTTGCCTGATCTGAATGCAAGAGAGCAAGCACGCAGCATGCAGCATACCTGACTGTTTATCCAGGGCTTCTGGTTGGGGAACCTCCTGACTTCTATGGTGGGAATGATGATGTCAACACAGGTACTAATGTACCTGTTCACATACTCAGCATAGTCCTGTACACTGACAGAAAAGTCCTCCAAGATGGCAGTAGCTTTAAACACATCCCAGTCTGTCTGGGCAAAACAGTCCTGCAGGGTGCCCTCAGTCTCTGGGGTCCAGAGTTTAACTTGCTTAGTGACAGGGTTTATTTGTTTCAGTCTTTGTTTGTACGCTGGGTACATGAACATGAAATATGGTCTAACAGATTAATTGCCAAGTTGTGACAAGATACTAAACACCAGAAAATCTTAAAATTATGTCTTAAGGCTTTACCGCATAGCTGTGGTGCTTTTACATGTAGCTGCCATAAGCTAGGAGGTAGCTGACATGTTTCCTCTAAAATTCAACTAAAAGTCAAGGCTACAAGTGTGACAGAGCAGTTGTTTTAGCTTCCTGGTGCTTGCTACCACAAGTTTCTGATGGCAGTGTAGATTGTTAATGGTAAAGATAACAGTTGAAGAATGACTCAATGAGTGCCCCTTTTTAGTAACACACATTTAGCAAAACCATCTCTACTGCAAACCTTCTGCTTGCTGTGATCAACGCCATCTAAATTTTTCACATATATCACAGTGAATGAAAGAACGGGGCGATGGCACATGAATAGCCTATTTAGTAATGAGGTAATGTAACACAGAAGTTACTTGGATCTAACTGCAGATATGTCAGTACATGTATAACCTACAGTACAATCGCTTTGCATCACAAAGTAAATGAAAGATTGTAAACATAATTTGTGCAAGGATTCAGTCTACACAGTATGGACTCATCATATACAGTATGATACATCCCTTCTAGTGTTGTGGTGGTGATATCAACACCAATGCAGATTTATAGTTCTGCACTAGTGAAATCCAGTGCAGAACTGTAACTGTTAGTTAAATGTAGTGTTGTACTGGACTACATTATAGTCAGAGGTGTTCCTAATATTCTGACCATCACATATCTGCCTCACATTTCCTCATTCATGTCTCTTAGTGGCCAGACAAGCACAGTAAATCCCCCCTCATTCTGCCTCAGCTGGTTCAGTGGTCGTACAGACCGTCTCCTCTGATGTCTTCTCTGTTATCAGTGTTGCAGTAATTTCAGTAAACGTAACTGCTGTTCAACATCTATTAATGACCCACTCAGTTTCAGTCTCTATTGTTAGTAAGTGGCAACGAAATGCTACATTGTGGCATAGAAACTCTACCGCTTACTAGTGGTGGTGTAATTGCAGGGCAACACAGATACACCAGTGCACAAGTACAAATGCTCACAATGGTGTAGGCTCTGCCTAGATTCAACGCTGAACCGTAAATCAAGCTTAATATGAATATACAGAGCTGAGAAATATGGGTTCTGAGAAATATATCAGTCCAAACAAACATACATTTTTATTAAAATTAAAGTGCCCGTTTTCTCCAGTCATTGACTCTGATGAATTCAATCAGTTAAAGGGGTGCCAAACAAGCTGATGGAGATGATAAACTCTGTTAGGTAATTGCTCTCTGTGAACAGCATAAACAAGACTTTTGGGAGTAGCTCAAGTGCTGCCTCTGGCTGTTGTTAAGATAATGGCTTGTGGTTTAACTTGGACCTGGATATGAGACCAAACCAGCAGAACCAACAGGATTTTAGACATAACTGACAAAAAATGAGCTGAGAAAATTGACTAAATCTGTTTTATTCATTATTGGTTTGGAGCCTGAAAACAAAACTCATCAAGCCAAATTTTCAATAATGACCTCCTTCTCTGTTAGATAAGAGCCACCACTATTAGACACACATAGGGTCCTTTTCATTGAAGTCAGTTGCCAAGGAAGGCAGCTTCCAACTGCAGTGAGTGATGTGTGCTGTAATAGACTCTTCTTCACAATATGTCACCACTTCAATTATATGACATTCAGCTGCAGTGAGCTCTGGGTAGGGAAGAAGAGTGCAACTCTGCACTCCTTTTATCAGATCTGTCAGATAGCAGGAGACTATAGGTGGAGGTGACGATAGTTTATCTCAGTCATCCTTCACCCTGTGGACATACAGCAGTCACAGATCTCACTATAGCCAACCATTATCCTGAGTTCACAATGCCTGGAAGAATATGCATGCCATTGAAAATGGTGAAAAACACTTAACCGAAAATCAAAACTGTCAGTGAATGAAATGGATGACAGGCATGTCTAGTAATTGTTCCAGCTGTAAACAAAAAAAGGTCTAAGCTCCCTCAAAAGCAAACACCACACTGGTAGTGATTAACAGGTAACAACAGCTACAGATAATTTTACACTGGTGAATTAATTATTCACATCAGGACCAAGAGTCTACATCCATGCTAGCAGCTCTGAGAGATGCTTTATTAAATAATAATGTTAGCATGCTGACATGCTTACAATGACAATGCTAATAGATTTAATGGGCAGTGTTTAGTAGGTATTGTTGTACCCGGTACTTTTTACCATACTGACTCTGAGAGACAAGGCAGTCCAAGTAACTACAAAACAGTGCTGATTTATTCCATGAACACAGGTAAAAATTAACATTACACGCTCAGGTATCTTGCACCTCCAAACTGCACGCAGGCAGATGTAAGATGAAAGACCCTGAACCCACCAGGCCTATACATTATATCCCCTCGGTTGGGCTAGCCCCATACTACACAGAAACGTCAACCGAGACGTCTCTGTT